TTGATAGCAAAATTACTTACATCCCACTGTACCTTAAAAGTGTGATATTCAGGACCTTCTTTTTATTTGGATGGATGTGTATTTACTAGGTTTTTTTTTTTTTTCTTATTGTCATGGTATGGCAATATTGGTGACCCTTGCAACATTTTCAGGTTATAACTGTGTCACTGCACTTTGTGGTGCACTAAGTAGTGGTGCAGAGTGCCTCAGTCTCCACTCCTCACCTCTGCTGTTTTAGCCTGGAATTCCCATAGATCATATGCAAACAAGCAAGCATGGCTGTGTTCCAATACATTTTTATTTCTGGATATTAAAATTTGAATTTCATATCATTTTTACATGTCATGAAATAGTCTTTTTTTCCCCTAACCAGTTAAAAATGAACCATACAAAAACAGGCAGTGGGCTGGATTTGGCCTTCCAACTGTAATCTGTGGACAGACCCCTGGCCAGAATCTAGATAAATACAGGGAGCAATCCATTTGTTCTCAGCCAGCTCTTTCTTTTGCCATAATGGTAATTCACTAGCACCGTTGTAGTTGTGTATACTTTTTCTGTGGTACTGTGTTGAGGATCATTTGAAAGATCTTAATACGTATTGCCAAATTGCTTTCTAGAATATGTTTACCTTCTTTTTATTAAAAAATCTATATTGTGTTATATTCTTCAGGCACAGATTAGACTAAGTTTAAAAATTCTACTCTTTACTTATTTTCTATAAGCAGAGTTGCCCTTTTCTAACTGACATAAAGCCACTGGTATTTTTGAGTATGTTCTAAAACAGAAGATCAGTTCTTATTGTGTATTCTTTGGCTATCCAGCTTAAATTCCATATCCTTTTAAAGAAGTGCATTCTAAATCCTTTCCTTTATATCTTTTAGTTGTGCAGAAGAGAGCATTGAATATAAAAATGTCACTTGTTCAGTAACTGGGCAGATAAACTGCTAAGTCTCTCTCTGACTATGAATTTGTTTAATATAAATTATTTTCTAACTTGGGTTCTTAGCTTTTCTGTTACCTTTAAACTTAGGACTTGTGATCCATTTTGTCTTTACAAGCAAAGAATGTTTATAACAGATTATTCTTGTGAAGTGGGGGCAACATAGAGGCCATTCTCAGCCTAGACACCACTTTATAAAACTCATGAAATATGGTTCATGTAACCTCGTAGACTTTTAATACTCAGACAGATCATGAGGTCAAGAGATTGAGACCATCCCGGCCAACATGGTGAAACCCTGTCTCAACTAAAAATACGAAAAGTTGCTGGGCATGGTGTTATGCACCTGTAGTCCCAATTACTCCGGAGGCTGAGGCGGGAGAATTGCTTGAACTTGGGAGGCAAAGGTTGCAGTGAGCCTAGATTGCACCACTGCACTCCAGCCTGGCGACAGAATGAGACTCCATCTCAGATAATAATAATAACAATGATAATAATAAAGCCTGTCTTGTGGCTAAAATCCAAGTCCTCTGGCTGCTATACCATTTAAATGGAGCTGAAATACCCACAAGGCTAAAGAAATATTGGAACACTTTTCAGAGTGCCATGCTACTTAATACTTTTTAGCCTTACTACAATAACCTATAAAGCTACCTGTAATGTTCTAAACAGAAGAAAAAAAAAAAAAGATCTTAGGGCTGAATAAAACATTTTAAGTTTTAAAAGTATTAACTGTGAAATGAATTTTCTTTGAAATTTTATTTTAAAAATTCCCTTTGAGAGGTCAAGGCAGGTGGATCACAAGGTCAGGAGATTGAGACAACCCTGGCTAAGACGGTAAAACCTGTCTCTACTAAAAATAAAAAAAATTAGCAGGGTGTGGTGGCATGCACCCTGTAGTCCCAACTACACAGGAGGCTGAGGCAGAAGAATCGCTGGAACCTGGGAGGAGGAGGTTGCAGTGAGCCGAGATTGCACCACTGTGCTCCAGGCTGGGTGACAGAGTGTGAGACTCCATCTCAAAAAAAAAAATTCCCAGGCCAGGCATGGTGGCTCACACCTGTAATCCCAGCAGTTTGGGAGGCTAAGGTGGGCGGATCACCTGAAGTCAGGAGTTCAAGGCCCGCTTGGCCAACATGGTGAAACCCCTTCTCTACTAAAAATACAAAAATTAGCCAGGTGTGGTAGAGCGCACCTGTAATCCCAGCTATTCCAGAGGCTGAGGCTGGAGAATCTTTTGGACCCGAGAGGCGGAGATTGTTTGAGCTGAGATCACTTCACTGCACTCCAGCCTGGGCGACAGAGTAAGACCTGTCTCAAAAAAAATTCTCCTTAGTAACGTAAAATGAACTGGGAAAAGTTATGAGAGTCTCAAGTTATAACCAACAAAAAGTGAACCTTAAACCCATAATATTTTTGCCCAGTATATTAAATCCTTTACTTATTAGCCAGGAACGTGGAAACAGCACAACTTGAACGAGTTACAACAAAAACAGATTTAGGATTAATAGACACATGGCATACGAGGAGAGAAGAACTTAGCTTTAAATCAGTTGAACTAACTGAAACGGTTGCATAGGTCAGAACTTGGGTGGTTGGTTATCCATTGAACCACTGAACTTCTTCATGTAACTCTGGGGTAAATTGAGGCCTAGAGAAGTTTAGAGACTTGGCCAGATCACTCCTTGTTAGAAAAAGGGCTGAAATTCACATCTCTTCCTTAACACTAATAGAAAACAAGATGACTGGGAAGACGCGATTGTTCACACCTATAATCCCAGTACTTTGGGAAGCTGAGGCAGGCAGATCATAAGGTCAGGAGTTCGAGACCAGCCTGGCCAACATGGTGAAACCCTGTCTCTACTAAAAATACAAAAAATTAGCTGGGCATGGTGGCGCACACTTGTAGTCCCAGCTACTCAGGAGGCGGAGGTTGCACCACTGCAGCACCCCAGCCCAAGCGACAGTGTGAGACTCCATCTGAAAAAAAAAAAAGAGAGAGAGAGAGAGACTTTGATCACTTCTGAAATTTTTAGGAAAAAAATATTGAAGAGTAAATTTCTCCCAGTAATTCGTATTTCGTCCGCCAGACACTTTTGTAATGTAAGAGGAGAGTTAGGTAAGATAAGAGGAGTACTAGCTGTCTAATACTGAGCTTTGTATAAAATTTGAGTGAGGACCCAAAACACAATAAAAAGAAGTGATCAGAAGCTGTTGAGCTTACTGAGTCCATCATCATTTGTTTTCATGTCCTCCATTTAAGAGAAAATTTTTCTATTTTTAATTTTTGTGGGTACATAATAGATTCATATATTTCTGGCACACATTATCTGTTTTGATACAGGCTTGCAACACATAATCACAACATGGAACATAGGGTATCTGTCCCTTCAAGCATTTATCTTTTGTGTTACAGACAATCCAGTTATACTCTTTTAGTTATTTCTAAATGTACGCTTAAATTATTAGTGACTCTAGTCACCCTCTGGTGCTATCAGATACTGGGCCATATTCATTCACTTTAACTATCTTTTGTGTCTATTAGCCGCCCCCACCTCCTGCCACCCCAACCCCTGCTGCCCTTCTCACCCTTTCGTAACCATTCCTCCTACTCTCTCTTGACCTCAGGTGATCCACCCACCTTGGCCTCCCAAAATGCTGGGATTAACAGGCGTGAGCCACTGCACCTGGCCCAATTGTTTTGATTTTTAGCTCCTACAAATAAGTGAGAACATGCAATGTTTCCATGCCTGTTTTATGTCACTTAACATAATGACCTACAGTTCCATGCATGTTGTTGCAAATTATTGAATCTCTTTTTTATAGCTGTATAGTACTCCATCGTGTATATGTACCACATTTTCTTTATCCGTTCATCTCTGGATGGACAGTTGGATTGCTTCCAAATCTTGGCTGTTGTGAATAGTGCTACAGTAAACGTGGGAGTGCAGATATCTCTCTCCTTGATGTACTGATTTCCTTTCTTTTGGGCATATACCTAGCAGTGCAATTGCTGGATCATATGGTGGGATCCTCAAGAATCTTAAGACGTATAAAGGGATCTTGAGACCAAAAAATTACAGAACTGCTGTTTTCAAGCTTTGTGACTCAAAGTGTGGTCCCAGTCACTCCTTGAATTGCAGAGACTGGGGTCCCACCCAGACCTGCTAAACTGGAGCCTGCAGTGTAAGGAGATCTTCATGTGATTCCCATGTATACTAAATGAGGTGCTGCTTTCAGGAACACTTGAAAGAAGCTTCAGGCAGGGGCAGTGCTGCAGCTGTGGAATCGCGAGGGAAAGTGAAACGCAGAGAGTGAGGACTGGGAGACTCAGACACAGAGCCCTTCTTTCCCAAAATAGTTCTGCTCTTCTGTGTGTCCTCTGGTCAAGGGTTTTTACCTTAGGAATGTATTCTCATACAGTTTAGATGTCTGAAATTGCTTGGAGGTTCAGTAGAGAAATCTGGGCTCAGAAAGGATAGGCCAGTTGGAAAAGGACCTATTGGAGATGTGAAGCCTGCAGCACTGTCCAGGATCTTGCTGAGCAAGGCACGTCTGTCCAGGTTCATGCCTGTTACTGGAGGATTTTGTACAGTAGTCTCACCTCATCTCCAGTTTGGTTTGTCTCTGAAGATTACCATCACTATTAACTCAAGCTAGAAAAGGTAGGCAAAAAGACTGTCACTTAAATTTTAGTTGTAGATTTATGTTTTATCTCAAAAACAGTTTTCATCTTCTAATTACGTCTTTGCTATGGATGCGTAGTTATAGCAAAAAGCACGCATGTAATTCTGTCCAAATAGATGAGCACTTGGGATATTGATTCTGTAAAGCATTTGTGAAATCAACCTGCCTTTGCAGATGTAGCATTCTGTGACAGAGCAGACATTTTACATGTTTTTAGGAAGGTTAGCTGTCTGAAATTGGTGACTAAACAAAGTTTAGGTTAAGTGTACAAAGTTTGGGTTACGTGTACAACCAGACAGTATAATACAAACTGTTGTAACAAGACCTTCCATTTCTAAGCTCTAATAACTATTTGCTTTCTCCTTGTTTTTAGGGTGAATCTGTAAAATATTTCCTGGATAACTTGGATAAACTTGGAGAACCAGTAAGTGTTTAAACTGAATGTTTATGTTTAGTGCCATTTGAAAGCAGAAGTCAGGATATCAATGTTAGGAAATTGAGAAAAATTATGTATTAAGCTCCTTCCTTCCTTCCTTCCTTCCTTCCTTCCTTCCTTCCTTCCCTCCCTCCCTCCCTCCCTCCCTGTCCGTCCATCATTCTGATTCTTTCTTGCTTTATTTAGAGTGATTGGTAGCTAAAAATATTGAATGATTTTTATTGTTTAATCATGACACTTCTTTTTTTCTCCCTCTAACTGTCCAGATCTTTACCATTTTCTTGAGGAATATTTTATCTGCAATTTCTTGGAAATAAAACTGTTTAGAGAAAGAAGTTTATGTTTGCAAATGATATTGTGCATTATCTATTATACTTTAGTGTCTTTGGGGGTTTTTGTTTGTAAACAGAAACAGGACACAGTGGGTTGATTGATTTCCAAATCTTTTGACAAACACCATTTTTGAGTTCATGCCCCCTTTGTGTTGAGTTACGAGGAGTTGCCCTTGAAAAGAGAGTTTATTATTTTCCTGTAGGTATTCCTTGGAGCCAGCAGCTCTAAGCTGGCGCTGTGGCCAGCGGGGCCCACTGCAGGCAGAGCAGCTCTGCTTGTTTGACCTCTGTATTGGACGTACACAGAAGAGTTTACTGGGAGAAAGGTTTCTGCTGCTTAGAAAAATTTTGAAAGCCACTGCCTTAGAGTCGTTTGTTACTCTCTAAATGTAGCGCATCTTTGTTTGCCTCCTCATAAAGCAAACATTTCTTTCTTTTCTTCCTTTCCTTTTCTTTCTCTTTTTTTTTTCTTTCTTTCTTTCTTTCTTTCTTCTTTCTTTTTTCTTTCATACGTTTTCTGCTTATGTAAAAGCAGATTTCTGTTACAAATTGTAATGAGGCCATATGGGTACTTTGAGGTTTTTATCTTTAAAAATATAACTGAAGGAAAGCACAAAATGAACCTGTTGCAAGTGGGAAAATAGCATACTAATGTATCCAGGACACGTGAAAAGATGTCTCCTTTTTACCCTAGCGGAGTGATTTTTACATTTTCCCTGTATGTTTCTGACTTGCATTTGTCTGCCTTCAGTCCAGTGTATTTCTCCTGCCTGTTTCCTAGACAGGTGACCCCCACATGTTGAGAAAATCTCCATAGTTTGTTTCTACTAATTCAGTCTACATCAGTGAAACTTTGTATTAAGATCTATTTTACTAACATTTTCCCATATGGCCAGATTGTAAAACGTAAAAAAGTTAAGTATAGGTCAAGTAGAAAGGAACCTTAGTAAATAAACTAGTTTTGTAAGAGTTATTTCTTGTTTTCTAATTCAGACAGTGCTGACTTGACCTGCTCCTCTCAGGTTACCTTTCAGGCAGGGCTTCCTGCGCACACCACACACCAAAGTGGTTTCCCCGCTCAGCATCAGCTCCTGCCTTTCTCCTCCATCGCACATATCCTTTGATAATTATTTTATCTTTGTTTTCACTCATCTGTTTCCTTAAGTACAAGGACCTCATCTCTGGATTATGAAGAGTTGAGGGTTCCTGATGCCCAGTGACAGTACCTGAGTAAGCACTCAACAAATAGCTGAATGAATGACTCTGGGCCAACTCCATTCAATTTGTTGTAGCTGCTTAGGATCTTATGTTGAGAACAATTTTGAGGCCACATCTGGAATAAGAAGAAAAAGCGCTGTGTTCAGCCTATAGTGGTAAAGGAGCAGGGTGGGTAAACCTGAGCGGCACTGCATTTTGGTCAGCCATTTTGTGCATATGGAACAGGTCACAGAATTCTGCTTGCTGGTTTATTTCTTACTGAAGTACTAGGGCCATCAATACCCTGCTGTGCTGAGCCCTGTGCCCCTCCCGTAGGTGGAACAGCAGAAAGGTCAAGGACATGGGCTCTGCAGCCAGACTGCCTAGCTTCCCTTCCCAGCTCCATCACGGACTGGCTCTTTATGACGTCGGTCATCTCTAAACTGTAGTTTTCGTTCATAACTGGGCATAATAGCAGAGTAAGAGAACTGAGCTCCCAGTGTTATGGGACAGTTACATAAAATAACCCCTGAAGGTGTAGGAATATAGTAGATGCTCAATGTTAGCTGTTCTTTGATCTCTGCATTTAAGGAGCTCAGTCTACTCAGAGAAACAAAACTAACATATGTAAAACAAGTAGAGGACAATGAAATGATACTGATCACAAAGATAAATTAGTTTATGGACTGGAGAGAGATGTATTGGCTGAAAAAGTTGGAGCTAGGCTGTAAGAGTGAGTGAACCTGAACTGCCTGAAGGATGGGTTGCTTTTAGATACATAAAGACACGATGTGGCACGCCGATATGGGAGACAGCTGGATGTGCCTGGTTCTAGGAGGCACATCTGTCTGTTGGAAGGATATGCGAAATTTTTAGCTCTGACTTGTAAAAAGAGACTTTTAGAAGGCAGTAGCTTGGGTTCTTAGGCATTGTTTATTGTATCTGCACTGTTGTGCAAATGAACAAACATGTAATAGTGTTCAGATGTGAAGCTTTCTGCATATTTTGGTAGGCACTCTGGTGAGCTGGAACAGTGCAGAGCAGAGCCCGCTAATTCCAAACAACAAGGTGTAAGGAGGGCCCTGAAGGCCCGTCAGCAGTTTGGACTTGATGCAGTGAGGGACCTGTAACCAGGCTGGAGTGCGGTGGCACAGTCTCAGCTCACTGAGTTCTGGAGTCCTGATGCAGGATGGTTTATTCTACAGAAACATAGTGGCTTAGACACGGACTTGAGGTGTGAGACATCCGAGGTCAGAAGACTAGTGAGGAGATGGCAGCCATGCCTGAGATGAGAAGAAAGCGGGAGCGGAGGGAATAGGAGGAAAGCGAACATGTCAGAAATATTCAAAGAGCAACGGGATTTGGTACAAAACCGATGATAGAGAAGAGGCCATGGTGAAGGGAGACTAAGAAGCTGGGACTGCTGGGTACAGAAAATAGAAAGGAAGGTGCACTAGGAGACCTGGAGTAGAGGAGCCAGGAGGGAAAAAGATGAGTTTTCTTACGAGTTTGTTGTGTTTGATTTTGAATAGACTGTCAGGTGCAAATAACTGGTGAGCATTTATGAATGAGAGATTGGAATGGAAGTGTATCTGGCTGTTTTAGCCTTCTTTGATTGCCCACCCCCCCCCCACCCCCCGGCCCCCCCCCACACACACCCACACACACACACACAGGGCAGGAGAAAGCTCCCTCCACCCACATACACACCCCCCCCCCACCCCCCGGCAGTAGCAGTGTTGGCCATCAGTGGTCACGGTGGACATCTTAAGAGCTGACACATCACCTGTGTGCCAAACACAGTTCTTATGTGCTTCACTCAAACACTTTTTTTTTTTTCTTGAGATAGGGTCTTGCTCTCTCACCCAGGCTGGAGTGCAGTGGCACAGTCTTGGCTCACTGCAACCTCTGCCTTCCAGGCTCAAGTGATTCACCTGTCTCAGCCTCCTAAGTAGCTGGGACTAACCTGGCTAATTTTTGTATTTTTTATAGAGATGGGGTTTCACCATGTCGCCTAGGCTGGTCTCAAACTCCTGAGTTCAGGTGATCCACTCACCTCGGCCTCCTAAAATATTGGGATCACAGGCATGAGCCACTCACAGCAACCCTATAAATGTTATCTCTGCTTTACAAATGAGGAAATTATGACACAGAGAGGTTAAATGACCTGCCCAGTGTCACACAGCTAGTATGTGTGACATACTCTACTCTGCCAGACTATTTAACACTTAATTACCTGAAGCTCTGTGCTTCATGTGAAGCAGTCTTTAGAGCTTTAGATCCCTACCTAGATTGTTAGCTTTAATAGAGACAATAATAGAGAACTTCTCATTTTTATGAAATTACTTTTTTCTTTTTTCTTTCTTTCTTCTTTTTTTTTGAAAAGGAGTCTTGCTCTGTCGCCCAGGCTGGAGTGCAGTGGCACGATCTCAGCTCACTGCCATCTCCGCCTCCCGGGTTCAAGTGATTCTTCTGCTTCAGCCTCCTGAGTAGCTGGGACTACAGGTGCATGCCACCACTGGACCTGGCTAATTTTTGTGTTTTTAGTAGAGATGGGATTTCACCATATCGGCCAGGCTGGTACCTCTGCCTCCCAAAGTATTGGGATTACAGGCATGAGCCACCGTTCCCAGCCCTGGAATTACATTTTTTAAAGTCTCAGTGCTGGTGCATTTCTGAAGGGGCTGGCATAGGTGTATGCTGTAAATTGGTATTGCCTTCTAGAAAGCAGTTGGATGTTAAATATACGTAGTCATTAAAATGTTTGTAACCTTTAACCTCATAATCTTATCCTCGATTATTGTAATCTTGGGAATAATCCAAGAGAAAAAAAATATGTACATGAGAATTTTAATTGTAGTATTTCTGTTAATTATGGCAAAAAATTGGAAACAACCTTAATGACCACTAGTAAGGGAATGTTAATGTAAAGTATAGCACATTAATGCATTGGGTATATTTTATTGTCTTTTAAAATGAGGCATGACTGTATCAGCATATGGAACAGTTCACAATAAAACATTAAGCAAAAACATAGAGGTAGGCTGAATATTGTGTCCATATGCTGATTATAAGTAAAGTAGGCATTCGTGTGAACAAAAGCTAGAAGAAAACATGAAAAAGCTAACACTTGAGTCCTAGAGTTATTTAATGACTAGCTGTTGGTTGCCAGTAACTAAGAACCTGCTTACTTTTTAAAAATTCTTAATTCCAGCTGGGTGCAGTGGCTCATGCCTGTAATCCCAGCACTTTGGGAAGCCAAAGCGGTCGGATCACTTGAGGTCAGAGACCAGCCTGGCCAACATGGCAAAACCCCGTCTATACTAAAAATACAAAAAATTAGCTAGGTGTGGTGGTGCATGCCTGTAGTCCTAGCTACTCGGGATGCTGAGGCAGGAGAATTGCTTGAACCCAGGAGCTAAGATTGTGCCACTGCACTTGAGCCTGGGCAACAGAGCAAGACTGCATCTCAAAAACAGTGTGTGTGTGTATGTGTGTGTGTGTGTACACAGCAGGGTGCAGTGGCATGCACCTGTGTGTACACACACACACACACACACACACACAGACACACACACATATTCTTCTATTATACCATTTCGAGACAATGGGTATTCTTGTAATGAAATTTCAAAATCATAACACTATATTCAGAAAGGCATAAAATGCAGCATTGTGAATAGCAGCATTGTTTAAATTCTGCCTTGATTTTTAAAATATTTTTACCTTAATGATCTATATTAGCTGTCCGGTTCATGTATTACCAGAAAACTGTGTTGTAGTTTTGGAAGAAATGCGACACTGAGAAGGAAGAACCAGTTGCATTGCATAAGAAAGTGTGCCGTCATAGAGTAGCTAGTGACTTGTGTGACCGGCAGCCTCTGTTTGTTCAGGGTCTTGTAGTTCACTGACCAAGAGGGCAGAGAAGAGCTCACTTGATCCTTGCAACAACACTTCCTCTCAGATAGACAGGCCACCTCCATTTCACAGAGATGCTGATACTCAGAGTAAGTGACTAGTTTGAGTTTTGGGGTCAATAAAGAAGAAAGCTGGAAAACAATTATAGTAGTAGTAGAGACCGTGTTTTTCACACATATTGTATAGCAGCAATGAAAACATAGACATTCTAAGTCATGAGTGGGGTAGCACAGTAAAAGAACATTTAGAATAGGTTAGAGAGAGGTGGGCAGAACTTGGAACTGGGAAGTGATCCTTGTAATTGGCATTGGATTCAGATCCCATTGCTTTTAATAGAGGAGCAAGGAGCAGTGTGGAGAAGGTAGATATACAGACAGGAAGATCACTCTGGCTAGAACAAAGAGTGGCTGATAGTGGGGAGTAAGATTGCAGGTGGATATATAGCAATGAAGGTGGGTGAGAACAATTGATAAGATTTCAGCCTAAACTTTGAGTAGTGTTGCAGGGATGAAAACAAGTAGATTCTGGCCATTTGTAGTACATTTTGAACCTGTCCTGCTAACATTTTAATGTATCTTGACATTTTTGCGGGGAGCAGAAATGGGGTCTTGCTATGTTTCCCAGGATACTCTCAGACCCCTGGCGTCAAGCAGTCCTCCTGCCTCAGCCTCCCAAAGTGCTGGGATTATAGGCATGAGCCACCATGTCTGACCAGTCTTGGCATTTTATAATGAGAATAATATATCTGAAAATGTAATTTAAAAGATCATTTTGTTTGCACATCTATTCACTAGTCCAGTTAGTAGTCCATTGAAAATTCTGATTACTTCTGAATTGCTAAGTATAAAACCACTTATTTCCTTTCCAGGATTATATTCCATCACAGCAAGATATTCTGCTTGCCAGAAGACCCACCAAAGGCATTCATGAGTATGACTTTGAAATAAAAAATGTTCCTTTCAAAATGGTTGATGTAGGTGGTCAGAGATCAGAAAGGAAACGTTGGTTTGAATGTTTCGACAGTGTGACATCAATACTTTTCCTTGTTTCCTCAAGTGAATTTGACCAGGTGCTTATGGAAGATCGACTGACCAATCGCCTTACAGAGTCTCTGAACATTTTTGAAACAATCGTCAATAACCGGGTTTTCAGCAATGTTTCCATAATTCTGTTCTTAAACAAGACAGACTTGCTTGAGGAGAAGGTGCAAATTGTGAGCATCAAAGACTATTTCCTAGAATTTGAAGGGGATCCCCACTGCTTAAGAGACGTCCAAAAATTCCTAGTGGAATGTTTCCGGAACAAACGCCGGGACCAGCAGCAGAAGCCCCTATACCACCACTTCACCACGGCCATCAACACAGAGAACATCCGCCTTGTTTTCCGTGACGTGAAGGATACTATTCTGCATGACAACCTCAAGCAGCTTATGCTACAGTGATGTACAAAAGACTTCTTGTTTTAATATCTTCTTGTGATTTTGATTGTTTTCTGTGTGTTTTGTTTTTTAAAATAGCAGTTTACAACCAGAATTAGAACAATCTTGATTCTATGTTTAACTTCTTGAAAATCTTAGTACTTTTTCTGCAGTCTTGGGTTTGTGGCTGAAAGCTGTCAAGTGACACATCGCCAAGATTTGCTGTAATGCAGGCTTTGATCTGCTTCACTATGGCTTCTATTCAAGTCCAGCTAAACCTTCCCAGCTGACCTCAGACTAGACATATTTCAGGCTTTCAATTCTGTTTTTCAAACTGAATTCTTCTGCAGTGCCAAGTAGAGAAGGTGTCTTTACTTGTAGTGATGAGGTTAGGAATATTGGGTTCCAAAACAAGTAAGATATCTTCTGTCTGCCTTACACATAGCAGTGACACTTGCCGCGTAGCTTAATGGTGACCTCCTATTTTGAAAGGGTTGTTAGAAAAAAGTTTGATCTAAGAAATGGCATTCTGTAGATTTATAGAAGGTTTAGCCTTCATATTTTAATTGCTTGTATACACAGCAGCTGTTTTGCTTTTAAATGTCTGTATTTCTGAAGGTAATGCTCTTAGAGTTTTCAAGTTTACATAAGGATCTTTGGTCTGATGCTGATGAAGAGTTCACAGGTGGTATGGCAGGAGAGCAAAAGGCAAGCAAATGCTATTTACAGTGTTTTGGTGAAACGTAATGAGTGAAGTAGAATTTGCCTTTCTCGTGTTTAATTATCATGTAGTTTAATGTACCGTATGTGAAACATTGTGGCCATAGCAGCAACTAAAAACTGCAAGTGACTTGGTAACAGAACTTTCTAAATAAACTTAACCTGTTCCAGAATGTCCTGTATTTGACTTTTAAGCCCTATCTCAGTTGGTCAGTAAAGACCAGTCCTTACTGTAGGAAATCATTGTTGTAACATCACAAACATCTATCTTTTGCTGTCCTCTCCATTCCCATCAACTACAAACTGTGGCATTTATGGGATTGTTTTGTTTGTTTGGAGCTTGCCAAGGGCAGTATTTTTCTGTCATAGTATTCAGGAAGGCATTATTTGAGATTCCTGTTCATTCTTGGTATGTCTCTAAAAGATACAGTATGTATACACTTGTATAATTGTTGTTTATGAAAGTCCAGCTTTTTTGAGGTATATTTTAAATGTTTTAAGGATGCTTCTAAGGATAAGTAGTAATTTTTTTTAGTTCGCACCTAAACGTGGTTACATTGACCTCCCCCCACTGCTTACCAAATTAAAATGTGTCCATGAAGTAGCTTTGTGATTGCAGATGCATTCATAGTGAACTCATCAGAGTGGCTGATTTGCAATACTGAAATACTATCTTGTAGGCTGTATGTAGTGCTAAAATCAGATCAGAGAAACAAAAGTCCAAGGCTGGTGACAGAAAAGTCTGACAGCTTTTCTTCTTTTCCTGAAAATTTTAAGACTGTGATATCTGTCATGTTGCTGTATAGCTGGCTGTGCACTCAGGTATTTTATTGGTCCTTGAAGGACTGGTCATTGCGGATCACCCAGTCTTTCCAAGTCAGTGGCTGTTGTTCTGTCTTGCTGTCTGATACAAGAGTGGGGCTTTTCTGTGAACTAACCAGGTATTGTTCTTGACATACCTGACTTTTCAAAGTATGTTTTTTAGTAGAGGCGTGCTTTCACCATATTAGCCAGGCTGGTCTTGAACTCTTGACCTCAAGCCATCCATCTGCCTCAGCCTGCCAAAGTGCTGGGATTACAGGCGTGAACCACCATGCCCGGCCGACATACCTGACTTTTCTCACATTGGAACTTCTACTGTCCTTATATCCATGTAACTTCCAGCGTTTTCATGCCACGTAGCCCGGCACCGTGATGCAGGTGTTCATGGTATCATTCATGCATGTTTGATTAGTTCTACATCTAGTGCCTCTTGCCAAAAAGAATACATTGTTTAAATTCACAAAGTTAGCCTAATCGCAGTGCTAATGAATATCTGAATGTGCACAGTAACATTTGGCCTGTTCAGTGGAGAATTTAGCCATACATTTTAAAAAATAGTTTTATTGAATGGCCAAAACATTTAACTCCAATGAGGACTCAAGCTAGATCCCTATAGAAAGAGGACACTTCATGTTGTTTAAGTAATAGTTAAGATCTGTGATACAAACTGTAGATATTGCCTGACAAAGCAGAAATCACCAAGTTTCCCCATTTTGACTTACCACTAGGAAGTGTTAAAACACCAAATAGATAGCGTGTTATTTTGGGCATTTGCAATTTTCTTCCCTGCTGCATGTGATGTCTCAGAATCAACATACTTTTAAATTTTAGAATCAATTTTGAGGCAATGAATTACTTACATTCAACTTAGGGTTGTTTTGACATTCAGTAGAACTTTAAGTTCAATCTGAAGGCTTTAGTCCACATTTTTTTTAATGTGTTGTATTTTTAAACCATTTGAAAGGAGTCTTATACCTGTATCATGAAAACTGAATCCTTTTGAAATACCACTTTATGAAGAGAGAGATGAAATTTAGTGAACAGAATTGAAAAGGTGCTCATAATTTTCACTATGCCAACTTACCCCAGTCTCTAAAAAAGTAAAGTTCTTTGATGTATTTGATTTTCTAAATCTTTATGATTATGATTTGGAATAAAATGTGCCTAATCCTGTATTACATTCTGTTCTTAAATCTGAATGCGTTCTCATTTAATTCTGAAGAAATACCACACAAGTGTCTTCATTGACCTTGAAGAAATGTATCATATACACAGTTGCCTTACAAAAACAACAACATAAATTTAGGCTATAACTTTTATAGAGAAAGGGTTTTGTCAAATGTTTTCTGAAAATCTGAGTAATTCAAAGTGTGCCTCTGCCACTTTAATATTTTTAATAACCTGGATTGTTGCTGTCTGCCAAATACTAAATTGAAATCTTCATTTTAGTTTTATTATCTGGAAAGGGCACTGGCTTGTGGTGCAACCAAAGAAAGCAATGTGGAATGAAAAAGATCATTCACTTTTGTCTTATTTTCTTTTAAGGTATATTGGCATGTACTTTACATAGAGAAGGTCCTCTGGTTAATCTCTCAAATTGAGGCTGTTTAGGGAAATCCTTACTAAGTTGGTGGCAGTTGGTTTAAAGTAGAAGGAAATAAGATCACCTTAATACTAGAAATGATTAGAAGTACTGATTTAGATTCAACAGATACCATATGTCCTTGTCATTTTTTGTAAGAAGAAATAGGTAAATCTTAACTTTCACTGTGTACCCAAATACTTGTATTTATGCTTTTGATAAAATGTATTTTCCACATTAATACACATCCGGTTATGCCTTATTTATATAGGAAGAATAAAGTTACCATGTTACGCTGTTATGTCCTGAAATTCAAATCACTATTTGAGAAACCCTCAAAGTGGTGCTTTCATTATATAATGATACATTTAGGCAAAACCCCAAACCAAGCCATTTGAAACAAGATTCTCTCTGTTGCAATTTGTAGCAATGTTATTTCTGTGTATGTCATGAGAAGGCTAACTATCAGTGTTAATTTCTTGTTTGAATCCATGAAATCATGCCTGTAAAACCCAAACATTTGTAACAAACTCCCTAATAAATTTAGAGAAAGTCACTCTGTTACCATTTCATTTATTTTAGTTTTATTTGAGGAATCAAAACCAGAAGTTTTGCTCATGTCTTTTTCGCTTGGAAATCTGACTTAGGATCTAGTTACTTTGTCTCCCATCATTTTAAGGTGTTCACTTCTGTTAATCACAGATGATCTGTCCTTGTGTTGTGCTGCTTGACTAAAAGCACTGATTTTTTTTTTTTTTAATGATAGGATACAGGGTGGCTTTTCAGTCTAGTAAATAGGAGGGGAGAGATTATGGGTAGGTGTGGGTGTGTCTGCATGTCCCAAATATAGCACATGCCCATTTTTTTATGGTACGAGGTTAGGGCTCAATAAATGTATACTAGAGCTTGAAGCATAAGCCTAAGCCTGAACATTTTAAACAAGTTGGACTTTATGGCTTTTGCAAGTTCCATCAAGTAGATGTTAGCCTTAGGCTGGTAGGTGATTAACAACATTATTTGAAGTATAGTGTTTGTACTACTAGCATTCTTATGTCTGTACTTGAATGTATAGTTAGCATTTAAGTTATGTTCACTCTTGCGGCATTCAGGTCTAACCATCTGGTTTCAAATGCGAGAGCTTATATGAAACATTGTTTTGAAAGCATGAATGATAATGGCAATATTTCATGGGTTGATAGGGAAATTTTTGTGACCTATACAAATCTGCTGTTGATGAAAGTTTACAGATGGATCAGAGTATGCTGGAACTCACTATGCACAAATTTTCAATCAGGGGATATCACTGAAAGTCATATAGTACTTGGTATGTGATTTTGGTTTGTATTAAGAAAGTTTGTTTATAATATTTCTTGCCATAGAGATACATTTGTCCTTAATCATGCCTATTTGATGGTACTAGGAAAGGAAAGGGTAGAGATTAATTCTTGCAAAGTATATGCAACAGTGGAACAAACTATGCCATTTACCTTTTACCTCTTACTTTAAGGCAGAATTGCAAAACGTTTGAAATGGCTTTTCTGTACTACTCTGCTCTGGTGAGAGCTCATTTACCACAAGAAGCCTTATAAAATATATTTTGTAACAACCTCATAAATACTGTACCTAACAAACATGATTTGTATTAGCTCTGTATAAAATATTTTTGTGGCTTAGGGTTTCTTTTGTGTTTTTTTTAACATATATCTTTTTATAACTTTCCAGGAACTAAGCACATTATCTGATAATTGTAAATTTTGTCAGTGCTTTAGTTCAGGATGGGCAATAAATTATTTTTAAAGGAGGTCTAAAAGTGGAAAGAATGGTTTGATTTTATAAAATGAGTTGCTAGTTCATTACAGCTTTTTCCTTTTGTACATATTTTGCAAAACATTTGCCTCTTGCTATTAATATTTGCTTTGTAAAATTTACTGACATTTAATAAACATTTGTAAATGATTCAATACTACAATGTTATTTAAACTAACAGTTTGCTAACTGTAAAGTGTAAAGCAGATGCTGAAAGTCTGAAAGCAAAAGTTTCATCGAGGGACTGACTTAAGACACAGAAACCTATTTCAGCAGAATCCCCAACAACACTTGGCTTGAATATTAGTCTAGAAACTTCTTACTAGAAATGGAGATGTGGACTTCTTCCAAAGAAGTTCTCAGACACTTAATATATTTTGACATGGGAATTGGAAAAGAGAAATTGCTTGTTTTTCTCTTTTCCTCTTAAGGTCGCTGAAACTGTATTAGGGTATACCTGAGCTCAGTTCATCCAGCTGAGACAGTATTAATAATTCTGTTATGTCTGTTGTAAATAATGTTTGAAGACAAACCAATGTTTACCACTCATCTTTTTTTAAAAAAAATTTAGATTATGATTTACAGAAAAATTTCAAGACAGCACAGAGTTCCCCATACTCCACACTCCTTATAATAGTTCCCATAATTAACATCTTGCATTAGTTTAGTACATTTGTCATAATTAATGAACCAATATTGATAACATTATTAACTAAAGCCCATACTTAATTCCTATTTCCTTAGTTTTCCCCTAACGTCTTATTTGTGTTCCAGGATCCATCCAGCACACATTACATTTACTTGTCATGTCTCCTTCAGCTCCTCTTGGTAAATTAACAACTCCTGTTTCTCACATTTTCTGTTTTTGATGACCTTGGTAGGTGTTTTGTTTTTTGTTTGTTTGTCTGAGACAGGGTCTCCCCTGTCGCCCAGGCTAGAGTACAGCGGCCCGATCTCGGCTCACTGTAGCCTCTGCCTCCCAGGTTCAAGTGATTCTCCTGCCTCAGTCAACCAAGTAGCTAGGATTACAGGCGCATGCCACCACACCTGGCTACCTTTTGTATTTTTAGTTGAGATGGAGTTTCTCCATATTGCCTAGGCTGGTCTCAAACTCCTGAGCTTAAGTGATTCGCCTGCCTCGGCCTCCCAAAGTGCTGCGATTACAGGCTTGAGGACTTTGGCAGTTTTGAGGAGTATTAGGTATTTTGTAAAATATTCCTCTGTTGAAATTTGGTGTTTTTCTCATGATAGACTGGATTATGGGTTTGGGAACCACAGAGATAAAGCATGATTCTCATCAACTCATATCAGGTGCACCTTGTGTGGTTACTACGCAGCTTTTCCCTTTATACTTTCCGCTAAGTTAGCAGTTCTCAAATCACTGTTGGCTTGTTTACGCCTTTTCTTAACTAGCATGTATAGAAACCTCTGGCTGCATGCAGTGCCTCACGCCTGTAATCCCAGCACTTTGGGAGGCCAAGGCTGGCGGGTTACTTGAGCTCACGAGTTTGAGACCAGCCTGGGCAACATGGTGAAATCCCGTCTTTACAAAAATTAGGCAGGCGTGGTGTCATGTGCCTGTAGTCCCAGCTACTCGGGAGGCTATGGAGGTTGCAGTGAGCCAAGATGGCACCACTGCACTCCAGCCTGAGTGGTAGATCCACACCTTGTCTCTAAATAAATAAGTAGACAAATAGACAAAGCTGTGCTTGTACTCTTCGTTCCCTAAACAGAACGAAGGGCTTTCTCTTGGTATTGCAAAGCAGGTGTCAGGAAATGTCTGGAGATGAGCTTGTACTCCTGGGCTGGTTTGGCTCCAACCTCTCTGGCAAATAAAATTCTTTTCCAGGGCCTCACCTCTAACATGTCAAGGAAAACTGAGATAGAAAATTTGGACTTGGAGTCTAAATATTAATATCTAAAAATCTGTGACTTTGGAAAATGGTCATTCAATTCTGGGAGAGATTTAAGATCTTTAAAAATTGAAACTAGACTCACTTGAGCATTTGAATCCCCAAACCAAGAGGTCATTTAAAAAACAAAAACACCCTTTCTTATGCTATTGTTGGAACAAGGGAATATTTCTCTGTGTAAAAAGAAACAACACAGCTATTCGTAGCAAAGTGTTTTGGCACAATCCTGGTTAATTGGCACCATGGAATGTCATGTCAGTACAGGATGCTCTCCCAAAATGACCTGTTTCACTCCCTTCAGTTCATGTTCCCTCTCCCCTTCACCAGCTGGCAGGAGCAGAAAATCAAGCGTGTCTAAGGCTGCAGTGTAGGTCATTACGGAAGAACCATCGACTTTAAAAAAGACTTCATAGCTTCTGTTTTCCTATCACGAATCTCCTTGGGAAAAAGAAAAATCAACATATTCCTCCACTCAATATAAATGTCAATTCGGGACACACCTTCCCTTAATGTTCTAGGAAAGGGAGACTTTTCGGTCCTAAGAATGTAGGAAACTCAAGGTCTACAGGTTAAACCGGAGGTCTGTTTTGGTGACTTGGAAAATTTGGCAAATCCTCAATGGATGACCCAGGGCAGTGTTTTAAAATACATACTGTAGGCGTCACATGGTGATTCACGCCTATAATCCCAGCACTTTGGAAGGGTAAGGTGGGTGGATCACTTGAGGTCAGGAGTTCGAGACCAGCCTAGCCAACATGGTAAAACCACATCTCTACTAAAAATACAGAAAATAGCCGGGGCCTGTGGCGGGCACCTGTAATCCCAGCGACTTGGGAGGCTGAGGCAGGAGAATCGCTTGAGCCTGGGAAGCAGAGGTTGTAAGCAGTAGGCCAAGATCATGTCACTTCACTCCAGCCTGGGCGACAGAGCAAGACTCCATCTCGAAAAAAATTAAAAATAAAAATAAAGGCCGGGCATGGTGGCTCACATTTGTAATTCCAGCACTTTGGGAGGTCGAGGCAGGCAGATCACCTGACATCAGGAGTTCGAGACCAGCTTGGCTAACACAGTGAAACCCTGTCTCTGCTAAAATTACAAAAATTAGCTGGGCATGGTGGCATGCACCTGTAGTCCCAGCAACTCAGGAGTCTGAGGCAGGAGAATCACTTGAACCCAGGTGGGAGAGGTTGCAGTGAGCCAAGATCGTGCCTCTGCACTCCAGCCTGGGCAACAGAGTGAGACTCCATCTCAAACAAATAACAGCTAGTGCTCGACTTATGACCACGGTCGGGCCCGCGGACCGGTCGTAACACGATTTGGTAGTAAGTTGAGTAGGCTATATGTACAGTTGAAATGGTGCACGCGGAGATGGTAGTGCTGCCGGAAGCTGGTCCGCACTGTCGTACGCCCAGCTGGGCAACGTTTGCGCTGCCAGATGCGGAGCAGTCGTGGCTAGCGATTATGGTCGTAAAGTCAAATGGTCGTTAAGTTGCATAGGTGGTAAGTCAATCAATACCTGTAAAGTACACGCTGTAATTTTTCCTCAGAAATTAGTGGGGCCTCTGAAATACATTATTGTGATTGGAGTAAGGGCTATCCACGAAAATGCTGCTGCAAGAATATCTTACAAATGTTCCTTTTCCTTTGAAGCACACCAAGAAAACAAAAGGCACAAAGTATGTGATACAAATTAGCCATTCAATGAGGCTGTGTTAGGGTTCTCTGTTTGCCACAAGAATACTGAGGGACGTTGTGTGCAGAATTGACATTTATACCGAGTGGAGGAGTATGTTGGTTTTTCTCTTCCCCATGAAGGTTCGTGGTAGGAAAACAGAAGCTATCAAGTCTTTTTTAAGGTCAATTATTCTTCCGTAATGACCTACACTGCGGCTTTAGACACGCTTGATTTTCTGCCCCTGCCAGCTGGTGAAGGGGGGCGGGAACATGAACTGAACCGAAGGCCAAGCACTGCTGACCTTGGAGAGAAAAAAATCGTCGTTTCATTTTACTTTCCTATTATTCTACATGGAAAATCCCCAGTTCTTGTAAGCTTTGTGGGATTTAACTAGCTGATTTTACCATCAGACTTAATTGAAACTTTATTCTGCATAAATGAACCTCGCTGGGTGCTGGTGGCTCACGCTTCTAATCCCTGCATTTTGGGATGCCAAGGCAGGTGGATCACCTGAGGTCAGGAGTTCAAGACCAGCCTGGCCAACGTGGTGAAACTCTGTCTCTACTAAAAATACAAAAATTAGGCTTGGTGGCACATGCCTGTTGTCCCATCTACTCGGGAAGCTGAGGCAGGAGAATCGCTTGAGCCTGGGAGGCGGAGATTGCAGTTAGCCGAGATCACCACTGCACTTCAGCCCGGGCAACAGAGTAAGACTCCAACTCAAAGAAAAGAAAAGAAATAAAAGGCAAACTTGGCTCTATTAATGAAATTACAGATTAAAGCTAATTTTCTGCAGGCAATCCTTGCATTTGTAGCAGGTTATAATTTGGGGGAAGATGCCATACATTGATATAAAAGGGGAATACAATCTGGATGAGGAGCTGATGCCCAACTTAATGGAAATGAGAAGCATGAATCTAACACAGGAATATTGGATACTATTCCTTTCTGTAGTGCCTGTGACAGAAGGGTGTTCAAACCCCCTGTACGGCATCCATGCCATTCAGGATCCAGCATCCTTCCTTCCTTTCTATCTTCCTTCCTTCCTTCCTTCCTTTCTTCTTTCTTTCTCTTTCCTTCCTTCCTTCCTTCCTTCCTTCCTTCCTTCCTTCCCTCCCTTCCTTTTCTCTCTTTCCTCCCTTCTCTCCCTTCCCACCCTTCCCTCACTCCTGCTCCCTCATCTCCCTCCCTCCCTTTCTTTTTTTTTTTTTTTTTTTGACAGTCTTGCTCTGTCACCCAGGCTGGAGTACAGTGGCACGGTCTCAGCTCACTGCAACCTCCGACTCCCGTGTTCAAGCGATTCTCTCACCTCAGCCTCCCCAGTAGCTGGGATTACAGGTATTCACCACCACGCCCAGATAATTTTTGTATTTTTAGTAGAGACAGGGTTTCACCATGTTGGTCAAGCTAGTCTCAAACTCCTGACCTTGTGATCCACCTGCTCAGCCTCACAAAGTGCTTGGATTATAGGCGTGAGCTCTCGTGCCCGGCTGCATCAACCTTTTTCTAACTAGCCTTCCCCTCCAACTTCCTCCACACCAACTAAACTAGATGGCTCCTTT